GAAAGATTGGTAAAAATTAGAAAACTACCAATTGAGCCCTTAATTTAATATAGATTCATTTACTATAAAGAAAACCATTTATTCAATTTTGTGCAACAAGTCTTCTATAATAATAACTTATGAAAACTCATATTCATGTACTATTATTTATCACATAGAAGATAATAAGAACGATCATTTTACATTTTTACCAACTTACCGGTATCTTTGGGAGTCCATATGGATGTCCTCATACTCCTGAACCCAATATCCAATTAAACAGTTAACTGGTCGTTCCCATACCCCATATAGTATGGGCACCAAACATGCCATTACCTCGATACCCTATCTGGTATGAGGGTGAACTATATCTCCAAAATTTTCCTAGTAAGGGACTTTCCAGCCTTGTCTGACTGAGGTAATGTTCATGGTAGGGTTTCCTATGTACCGGGCCCGTCCGTCCTTTCTTGGCTACCCAGTAAGTCCTTCCTATACAGATTTTCATCAGTATAATAATCAACCATGCAATAACCATATCTCATTTTATACTCACCATTCACTTAAACAACAATATAGTTTTATACCGCTAAATAACCAATGACCTGGATACTGGCACGTAATACAGAAAAAATAAATAACAAAATAACCAAAAAGAACTTAAAAACCATCAATATAGTTACACGCAATATAATAGTAAACAAATATAGGTAATATAGGAAAATAAATAAGAAATCAAAACGACCGTAAACTAATTAGTTCCGCCTCCACTAGTGACCTATAATTAATTTTAGGGTTCTCTAATTTAAAAAAAACACACACAATTATTAATTATTAAGCTTCAATTTGCCGCAACAAAAAAAAGGTGAGGGATCCTTAACTGAATTGGTGTCCGAAATACTGAACTTTCTACTGCGCCTACTGGCTGTCCCCAGATTTCCTGAATTATCCCTGCAGAATCCAAAACACTTGTCACGTACCTAAAAATATCCTAAGAATTCAAAATCGGTGAAAAAAATTCTTTCTTGCCAATTTCGGGGTTTCGGCATGACGACGCCACCGTGCTCCAGCGACGGCACCAGCCCGCGACAATGATTTGCCTCAGCCTAGCTGTTTTTGGCCGATTTTAATCAGTTTCATCTGACTTTATACATATCCCTGCAAAAAAAAATACGTTAGAGGGTTTCGGTTGGTTGAAAAAACTAAAAAATAAAAATCTACCAGCGGTGGAGTTTTTCGAGTTCGGTGGCTCTGCTGGCTTACCTTCGCGGCTGGGAGTTTTTCTTCGGTTAACCTGTAGAAAACAGAACCATGAATACAATAGTGAAAAAATCGCACGAAACGAGAAACAGGAAGGGGCTCACCGGATGAGGTTATGGATTTTGCCCGAGGCAGTCATCGGACTTTGCCCGCAGTTTCCAACTCACCCGATGTTTTTTTTGCTCCGGTTTAGCCATGGGGGTGCCTGGAATCAAATTCCAAGCGGATAGGAGAATTTTTTACCTTTTTTGGCGGTCGGAGGTAGCTCTAGTGCGACGGTGGTTAGTGGTTAGATCTCTTCTCCGGCGATTGGTCCTTCTTCACCGACGGGAGGCTGACGGCTAGGTTTTGGGTTCAGTATGATACAAAATATTTATACTTATCTCGTGTTAATCTGGATCGTTCATCGCGTTTGATTTCGACTGTCCGATCGCGTTTAGAGAGAAAATGAATATAAACTATTCATCACGATTTGATCTCGACAGTTTGATCGCGTTTAAAAAGAGAATAAATCCGGACCATCCACGCGCGCATGATCGATCTTGGGCCGTTCGATCATTGGGCATGTGGATCGCCTGTGTGGTATCGATGTCAACGTGTCTTGTAACGCAGCGTACTCCGGTTCGTCGGGGTTGCTGATTGGGTGGTCCTACGTGGTTAATTTTTTTTATTTGCACTCTGACCCCTAACTTCTGATTTTTCTTTCAAAAATACGCATCGAATCTAAATTTTCACACATTTTTTCCAAAATTATTTTCAATTTCATCCATAATCTATTTTTTTCATAAATTTAATAAAAAATTAAAATAAATTAATTTAAAAATAATTTTTTTATATTTAAAATATTAAAATTAATCATGGGCCAAATTCTGAGTCCGAATATTACATTCCGGACCAAATTTCGAATTAGAATATTACAAAAATAAAAATATAAAATAGAATATTTAATTTTTATCATATTTTAAATAACCAAATGTTATTTAAATATATATTTTATGTTGCCATAAAATGAGAAAATTAAGATTATTACACGTCATAAATTTGGGTAGATTCTGATAATCATATTAGTTCAAATAATATGTAATATTTTATTTAATAAAATAAAAATATTTAACTCAGTAGTATGTTAATATATTTATGGTAGTTAAATTAAACTAGATCTTAACAACACTATTATATTTTACATTAGTTTATATATATATATATATATTTTAGGAATTATCTCTGGGTAATATATTTATAAATATATATAAATATGTTAATATATTTATGCATGTTATTTTGGAGCTAATCTTATGTTAAAAACAAATCTAAAAATTTAATTTTTAAATTTTACTTTTAAATTATGTGTAAAAATAAATTTATCTATAAATTCATATTCAATGTAATTAAAAAAATGATAGAAAAATCCCATGTAAGATTTTGTAAACATATCTATGTGTTTAGCATTAAAGACATATATTCATAACTTTTTTAGTCATTGTGGTTTTTTATTTTTACTTTTATTTTATTTTTTATTTGGTATAATTTTATTCAATCTATATTTGAAATAAAATAAACAGGGTATAAAGAAATCAATATTATTATATTAAGATAACAAATGCATTATTATTATACTTCAACATCCAAGCGACATAAGAGTGCTTAGTTTGAAGTTCAGATT